ATCAGCATTAAAACTTCATAAAATTGATTCAATTATTGCAGCTACATTATCATCAATTTTATTACTTGATTCAAATAATACAGGTAAAAAAAAATAAAATAAAACGACAAGAATTTTAATCGCAAAAAGAGAAAGAAGTTTTATTGTTTTCATTTGTTTTTATTTTTAGATTATGTTTATCACCAAACACCATTATCATCAACAGTTACTGAACTTTATCAAAAAATAATTGATTCATTAAAAGATTATTTAAAACAACAATATGGAGATAGTTCAATTTATTTACAATTATTAGAAAGACTTAATGATGCTAGACGTATTGCCCATAATTTAAGAAAACGTTTATTATTTTATCGACATTCAGTTTGTTTAACAAATTCAATGAATTCATATCTTGATTTAATGTATGTAAATTTATTATTAAAGATCTTTTTGTTTTTATTATATAAAACTACGAACGAATTCTTTTCTTTATTATTATTTAGACTTGAATGTAAACCTATATCAACTGATTTACATCCAACAGAAGATACTTCAACGTTACCATTTATACAATATGATCTATGACCAAATTTTCATTTGATTATTATATACAAGTATTAATTTAATCCATAACCATCATCACCGATGTTCTTCAGTAGTTATTTAAAGTCATATGAATCACACATGTTTTCATTTTTTTTTTTTGTCTTCCATAATTCACTTCTACACCTATTTTTTGATTGTCTTTCGTTCCTTACTGGTTTATTGTACAGCACTATTCATAATGATGATGATAATAATGACTGAGGGGCATATAAACATATTGTATTTTCTGTCTTCTATTTCTCTCAGTCTTCCTTATACACATAATTCTGTTATGTGTACCATCATTATTAAATGATCAATTTGTTCTTAAACTTATTAAACAACCTTTTGTGGTCATCGTTGTTTTCTTTTCCTATGATTTCATCATACATATGGAGATTGCTTACTCTTTTTTTCTCTTTTTTTTTCCTATTAATTATTATGCGTAATGGTAAATAAATTCAACGAAAAAAAAAAATCTGAAAAATTCAATTATATTCATTCGATTGTTTTATTATTATTCATCGAGATCTTTTTTCTGAATAAAACTAACAAAAAAAAAACTATTTTGAATGTATTTAGAAAATTTAAGTTTGATTTCGTAATTTTTTTATTAAGTGGGAATAGAAGTTATTTCAATTTGATTTGTTTGTTGATCTTTTGCAATGAATTTGACGAATTTTTTATCTGATCCAAATGAAATTATTGGTTATCATAATCATCTCACTTTATTCTCCAAAAGAGATTATATGAATACAATGTTCATGATGATGTTTCACGAACGTTAATGTTTAGAACACTGAAAGTATACTGCACTTTGTGATTTGACAATATTTTTTGGTATTGACCGTTGGTCATTGGGATAAAAATGTAGATAAAATTTCGTTTGAGTAATTAATCGAGAAACTCTTAAAAATCAAAAGGATTTCGTTTTTTTTTCCTCTTATTTATGTGTATTGAAAAACATTGAACAAATCTTTAGAGATCATTTACTGACAGCATACGGTCTATTAAAGAAATCCATTATCAATGGTACAACCGAACAAGTTTGATTAAATTAAGTAACCTTATTCACGATTAATAGAAAGATTAAACATCGGGTAAAAAAAAAATAATTATAAATGATAGTTTGTTCAATAACTATTTTCTATATATGATTATTATTATCCTCACGTTCTACTCCATCACGTTGATTTACATGTGTTTTCTCTTTATCTTTACTAAAATTAATCATAGTAGTTCAAGATCAGCAATAATTGTTATGTATATTAGAAAAAGGATCATCATTTTCAAAAACTAAGTGTTTCTTTCTAATATCCAATAAAGGAATGCAAGACAGATTTGCTTCGTTGCATATATATGTATGCTAGCGTTATTTGTGTGTTTTTTCTTGTGTATATCCGTATATATTGGATGCATATTGATAATTATCATCATGATGATATTTATCGAAATGTTACTGATGTCTTCATATGCACTTGCAACTGTTTTGAATTATAGAAAAGATGAAAAAAAAAACGAGACAATTTAATCTTTCATTCTTTTGATTATCATCTTTATGTGTTTATAATTTTTTCTTAAATATTTTAAATTATGTGAATGTGAAGATTGTCAAGAAAAGAAAAAAAAACATATCAGAAGCCAAGCTATCGATAATGTTATTATCAATGTCATATTCTTTGACAAAGGAAATAGTTCTTTATTGATTGGTATCGTTCACAATCAAACAATGTTTGTATATAAACACATGCTAACCCCTTCATTATCTCTAATAGGATTGATGTGTTCTTTAAACTCATCATCGATCTGATTACACATGGTCTTTATTCAATATGACTACAAATATGGAAGCATCATGACAGAGAGTCAAGATTAGTATGAAAGAGAGAAGTTTGCATCAACATACTTGTTACGAATGCTATATCATCATCATAATAATAAAGATACTGCTTGAAGCTTCCATCTCTATTGTCAGTTACAATTAGTCAGGCTATTTTGCATCTCGTGATTTTAGTTCCATATTTTCGGCATCGACTTTAGTGTAGTACGCGTATCTTTCTTGATTTTCACATTTGACTAATTTTATAAAAATATAGCAATCATGTAAGATTGAGAAAATAACACAACAACATATTTTATTGTTGGTTATATAGCATTCTGAAGGAACAAATATATATGTATGTATGTATGTATTGTGACTATATTTAGCCGATAAAAATAGATACAAATTGCTCAAAATATATACTCTATGTATTATTCTAGAAACAACCAGTGTATGATAAAATGAAAGAAAATCTTCCTGAAGAATTTGAATCGGCCGACGAAACAATAAAAAAAGACATCATTATCAATCGTAGAGACTACTATGAGTAACCAAAAATCTTTACAAACACTCAAATGTGCTCGTAGTCGTAATCATGGCGTTGTATCTTGTCTAAAAGTATCGGAGTATAGAAACTAAAGATGCATTTTACATTTTGTTTCCTACGGTCACAAAAAATATTGTTCATGGCGTAATTATACATGTGAAAATTGTTTGTTAGTTGTTGAAAGAGAACGAATTATGGCCGCACAAGTAGCTCTTCGCAGGTAATACATATTTTTTTTCGTAAAGCATAAAATCCATTATTAAAGGTACTTCAATGTATTTTTTGTTTTGTTAATTAGACAACAAGCATCCATCGATGTGAATAAAACAACAAAAATAAAAAATATAGAAATTCAAATTCATTTCTTGACCAACAACGATTAAATATGTAGAAGAACCTGCGACAAATACAGAAAAGTTTAGTAAAAACATCATCGAATTTTCGATTTGCTTTGAAAATGTTGATGTCTTATAGTAATTAACAATATTTAAATTACAATCCCTCAACATAACTAATAAATAATTGCTCATTCACTTATTTCTGTTTCATATCTTATTTTTCTTCGTGCACCAACACTTGTAATGAAATTTCTTTCTTTTTCTCTAAATTGCCTTGCGGCACCTGCGCATATAGGACGAAGCTAGTCAAACTTTAGAAATTCATTATACAGATTTGTATTTCTACAGCTTGGAAATGTGAAATGTATGAAAATCTTATGCTTGATTAGATGAAGATACTCAACGAAAAAAATTAAGCAACACTAATGAGATTATAAAATATTACTCGAAAATAGAGCAACGTTAGGAGCATTAAGACTATGTCGAGATATCTACCAAAATAACGATAAATTTAATTTCGTTTATATTCAGCCAAGTAATTTAACTTTTAATTATTTTCATTCTCCAATAGAATAATACGATATTGCTTGAGTGTTTCATCATCAGCATGGTCTTTCTTTCTATCAAGTAATCGTGATGTTTTTACAAGAAAACGACAAGGCATAAAAGATATATCAACATGTGCATCACTATATGATTAAGTTTGGAAAGTTACATTCTCTGTGGTCGCAGTTTCTGGAATTCGAACGTTTAGTATGGAAGTTTCGTTTTTTTGGAAATCTGCCCACTGATGAATGCACGACGCAAGTTTCCTTACCTGGAAAGACAGAGCCAAGAGTGGGTTCCCGTTCCTAGGAACCCTGGAACCCACTGTGAGTTCATATAAACGAAGAGAATAGACACATCTGAGTATCTTCGAATGCTGAATAATGCTCGAAAACTAATTTTCAAACGCGTTCACGTTCCTAGGGAACGGAACTCGAAGGAATGGGAACGCTGACATCCCTAAGTCAAGGTGAAGCTGCAGAAGTGCTGGTGAAGTTATTGAGAACGAGAATATTTCAGACCTAGACTCTTCTTTGAGGAATGAATACTACAAAAATTTTGTAATTTAAAATATACTTTTTTAGGTGATCAAAAATATTTTCATGCTCAGAAACAGATACTTTGCCTGTTTCAATGTTAATCATCACTCACTATAATTATTTCTATATGAAAAATTTGCAGCCAATCCTATTTCTCCATTTGTGCCTTGGTCACGGCGTCCATGTTTTCCCTTAACTCGTGCATTTCTCTTAAACGGTTACCACAATTGTTCAAGTAGCATTTCCGAGATCATCGTTGATCGGTGGCGGCAAGGGCGCAATAATGACTTATTTGAACTAATGGAAACTTCTCATTGAGAATTTTTTTGCATTCTCTCTCGTTTTGATAAGACAGATGATCTAACGCTAGGAAAATATCTTAATAATGGCGATAAATAGTGCCATCTATATATACGGGACACTTTGTGAGTCAAAATCTTAGGTACAGTTTGAAAGAGAATAATTTTTTACATTCACTACTGTTGAAATGATTTCTGGGCCCGTGTCGCAACTGCAGATGGCGCCACAAGCGCGTTTCCTAATATTGTTTCGCTATTCTGTCTATGCTTCATTTGCTCTGACTGCGTACTATGGGGTGGCTTCACATCGTTCTTTCACATGTATTTATTACATTGTGCATTATGATCATTTTACTCATTTTTCTTCTTCTTGCTGTATTAGTTATATTTTATATAGTCGTTCCAGCAATAATTCGTTCAATTATTGCTAAAATTCAACTAGATTTTCGTTCGATTAATATTGAACAAATTGAAAATGATCGTTTTCATCTGCGAGCTCAATTAGAATTTTCACATACTGGATATCTACCAGCTACTATTCTTCCACCACTTATTATTAATGTGGATAACGTTGGAATAGTGGTTCATAATGAATCGATTTCTATTATTGGCGACATTGCTGGCCCAACCGTAGTTTCAATTAATTCTCCATTTATTGTGTCTGATATGAAAGCTTTTCGCAATTTCGCTCGTTCTCTCACCTTTGAACCTTATGTTGTATGGCATGTAAAAACTGAAGTTACTATACAACCTATATCACGTCATATGTTTTTTTATTCGAACATTCCATTTAATAAAGAAGTTACGTTAGGTGCTTTAAATCGTCTTCCTAATGTAAGTGTTGATTCAATAAGTTTAAGACGATCGGATGCACATCGAGTACTTACCGATCTTATTATCAAAATTACTAATCCATCTATATTCAGTATTGATCTTGGTAAGTAAACAAAGAATATTATTGTAAATGATTTATCATATTATCATTTTATAATTAGGTCAATTATATTTTTCTTTGCAATACAACAATTGCTCTATTGGTTATGTTGAATCGACTAGTCACAATATTACGATTCATCCAGGTGAAAATGTCATACAATTTTTCGGCGAATTACAATCTCTATCATCGGAATCTTATAATGCTCTTTCTACTGTCATTCAAAATTTTCTTACTGGTCAAACGAGTAATATAGAAGCATTAGCTGGCCCAAATACTACATCATATCCTCTCATCACTGCTAGTATAAGAGGTCTTTCTTTGAATGTTCCTACGCCTCCATTTAATGAACAACTTATTGCTTCATTGACATTTAATTCTTTGTCTCTTATTCCGTCGACAAATAAGAAAGAAGTAATGCTTTCAGCTTCAATTATTATTAAAATAAATTCACCTCTTGGTCCAAAATCTCCACTTAATATCCAAATGATCAATATCAGTGTTGCTCTTTTCTATGAAGGTGATTCTGTTGGTATGCTTAATATTTCTCAAGCTCTAGTTAAACAACTAGATGCAATAACATATCAATGGAAATTTAATGAGAAATATTTAAATCTTACTGGTAAAGGTACGACGTATGAAAAATTTGCTCGAAATTTTATTAGTGCTAATAAAACACATCCAATTGATTTTCGTATTGTTGGTGTAGTATCTATCGTTGGTTCATTTGCTCTTGGTCCTTTGAATATTAATCAAATTTTGGTCGGAAATAACGTATCTTTAGTAGGTCTTGACAATCTCAACAATGTTCATGTTGATGGAATTTCTATTGATGGAGAACAAGGAGCTGCTCTTCGACTTTCAATTAATACAACTATTAATAATCCAGGTGTAACTGAAGTTGAACTACGAAATTTTTCACTTCACATAGCCGTAGGAGAAAATGGTACGATACTTGGTCAAGTACCAATTGATGTTCTTGCTATACGACCAGGAAAGAATACAGTTACATTCAATGGGTTAGTTTAGGTTTTTTTTTTAATCATTGTTATTATTATAACTATTTTAGTCTTCTTACTCCATCATGTGAAACAGATCTTCCAGTTATTGGTAAATTCATTTCAGCATATCTTAATGGTCAAACACAAGCAGTAACACTTTTCCATAATCAATCTTCTGTAAAAAATGCAACTGCAATGGATTTAACAATAAGTGGTCTATCAGTGAAAACTAACCTTGATGGAATTGAAACAAAACTAATTCGTCAAGTCAATGTTCTTAATTTTGGTATCGAATTTGATTCAGTTCATGTAAATAAAATCTATATAACAGGTCAATTATCAGTTTTACTTGAATTACCATCTAACATTGACATGAAGTTTAAAGCATTAAGAACTAGTATTAATTTTACTATGAGTTTTAGTGATGAACCAAGTATAGGTCAAATGATTCTTCACGATTTACCTGTTGAACATAATCAAACAACAAATGAACTGTTGATAAATTTTAATAAACAAGAACTTATTGTTCTGAATGATGCATCATTTAAACAATTAGCTGCTTTTCTCTTTCTTACAAAGAATGTATCAATTATGATTGAAGGTTTAGCTGAAGCACTTGCTGAAGTTCGAATAGGAAATATTACTCTATCGAATATTCCAATAAATGATACATTTCATCTTGTTGGTTATAATCAATTTGATAATGGACTTCTAAATATTGATAATGTAGATTTAATTGGAGCTATATCCACTCGGGCACTTTCTCTTCACGTAAGAACGCAAATTATTAATCCTTCTGTTGTTAATATTCTTAATGCTGGTCGTATTGCCTTTGATTTATGTGATATTACAAGTGGTAAATCACTTGGTTTAATTATAATCGATCCATTCTATCTTCAACCACAAGGTAATATTACTGTACTTGATGCTGAAGGTACTTTTAATATCACTAAACAAAATGCTACTATAGCAAAAGAATTTATTTCAAATATGATTTCTGGTATTGACAATCAAGTAGAATTACGTGGTAGATTAGAAAATAACTCAACTGACACTTCTATATCATTACTCTCATTCGCTATTCCTTGTCTTCGTATACATACAAGAGTTCCTGGTCTTTCAGGAGAGAGAACACTTATTCCAGAAATTATTCTTAGAAAATTAACTTCTACTGAAATAGTCAATATTCCATTTGGTCGTGTCATACAATTATCAACACGTATTCGAATTGTAAATCCTTTTAGTACACCATTAGTTATTTTAAATATGGACATAAGAGCTGATTTCGGTCCTATAGTTGATGAAGATCTACAAGTCGGTATTGTTAGTAATAATACACATCTGACGATTCATTCTCAACAAGAGTTGATAACTCCTTATTTAACTGTTGAACTTACAGGTAAATTAAGTACTATGACTGCTCTAATAAAGCCTCTATTGGCTGGTAGTGCTCGTCTTTCGTTATCAGGTATGATCGATATTAGTATTGGAGGTGATTTCGTTTTAACTGAACTTCCACTTACTGCACTGGATGTAGCTACAGCTGAAGAAGATTTTATATAAATAAACAATGCTCTCCTATCTAATGATAATTTATTTATTTGTTTTGTGCATTACAGTCCCGTTTGACAAATGAAATCATTTCATAATTTTACTTGTTTTTTATTTGATCGTAGAACTATTTTTTAATAAATTGATCATCAAAAAAGTTTTTTTTTTAAAACTTTGGACAATTATAATATATATAATATGAATAATCTATTTTTTAAATGAAATACGAATAGAATCTATGTGGTTTTTTCAATAGCAATACATGATGAACGTAAGAATAATTTTAATGATATAACTTAATGTTCCGCAACTTTCATATGTGTAATATTTCATAAAGTTTTATTCTATCGTTTTGTAAAAACTAAACTATTTTCATATGGCAAAGTTAATCGAAATAACATTATAGGAAAATTAATATACGTCAGTCGAAAAAAAAAATATTTGTTTCAAATCGTTGCAAAATTATCAATAATCAACAATTTCTTTTCTGTTCAATCATTTCGAAGAAATATAAACAAAATCAAATCATTCTACAGAATGGATGAAGTTCTGAATACATATACAAACTCTTTTTTTCTTTCATGAATACATCTATTCATATGGGTTTCGTCAATAACTACTGTGGTTTAAAAACGTGACATGATATATTGGTTTTTTTTAATACTTACGTTTTCTCATTTGTCATTTTACTTAATATAGACAAATGTTTCTTTCATTCATTGCAATGTTTCTTTGGTTCCCAACTGAAGTATCGTAATAACTGGAAATGGTTTAAGAAAATCTATATCAAATATTTCAATTGATGAATATGTGTTAATTGTTAATAAACAAAATAAGTTTATCAATAAGCTAATCTATGCTTTTATTCATTTAAAATGGCTAGAGCTATTTAATTTTCTGTCAATTAATATTCTGTATGATAAATATAGGAATCATACCACATCTTTATTTATATCCACAAATCGTGTTGTATTTTTAACAAACGATACAACATAAAAAATGTACTGTTTCTACTGATCAACTTCGTTATTGATGATCGTATCAAACGTATTTATTGAAATGAAGTTATTTCAACTAAAATTCAAAATGTTCATTTAACAGACGAAGGACGTTATTATGCACTATCGACACTATGAAGTACCATTTTTATTAATAAATGTCTTAACTTTGAATTATGTAACATTTAATAATCATTATTTATCTCATTGTATTATATAAATTTATTGACGGTAGATTTATGTATACAGATCAATAGAAACTAATGAGCATGTTCATTCGATTTTAAGAACATGTGACAATTCTGCTCGATGATATGAATTTGAAAAACCTGATCAAAGTTTAATATATAATAAACTATTTTAAATATCGAGATTTATTTTAAAAAAAATATCTTGTTTTTTTTTGTAGATTTCATTTTGAAAATAAATATGAAATATTCTATTGAGTATAAAAAAAAATTAAATTAACGAATCTTTTTTGTTTGATATAAAGTCATGCAAAGATGACAATATGATATGAATTATATTGTTTTATAATAATATCTATAGTAGAAAAATTTGTGACAACTAATAAAAGCTAGTAATTAATCTAAAGTGTGTTCAAGAATATCAAAATTTGTTCATAGGTCTCGAGATCGAAAAGATGTTGCGAATATCTATAATACAGTGGCTTATAGAAGTACCATAAAAATTTCAAAACTACCATGGAGTGTTACACAACTGAATATTATTTCCACTTCAATTTTTTTTTGATAAGCATATAACATGCACAATGTCTGAATATTATTCTATCGGAAAGATACTCGGACTATCTATTAAGATAGGTTCCTGTAATAAAAAAAAAACAATTAGCAAAAATTCGAAATTATTTTTATTGCTTAACTTCCGCTTATTACTCATTAGGCTACATTTTTACTCTCATGAACTATATATACCAATCATCCGACTGCAACACGCTATATTCATCAGAACATCAGTCTATCAATGATGTGACATATATAGCATGCATAGTTCTAGTCTTATCTTCGTTGTTTTGGATGTTTTTCTTGAGCAAATAAATAATTGCTGTGTTAAACTTTGATTCAAACTAAAAGTACTATCAACCTGATTATATTACAACAAAATCTTGTATCAAAACAGTCTAATCTCTATGATCGACCTTGTAGTATAATTTATTCTTGTACATCGGTTGATTGCGATGCACTTAAGAAAATAGGCAATTTATATGTAACTGTCCTTATAAAATAAAAATTGTCAATGAATCGTACGTTGAAGAGTTACAACGGAATTTGTAATACGATACGATGATATTTCAGTGTGTCTATTGTAATAGTAAAAAGGGAGTCACAAATTTCCTAAACAAATAAAGTTATTATCTTTTTTTTTCTTCTATTTTTATCATGAAATAAATGAAGCAAAAATTATCAATTTAAATATCTATTCCTTTTACAAGGAAAACAAAAAAGATTTGATGAGTGAGAAGTTTTAACTTCAAACCTATTTGCCTCTAGCAAAATCTACTATTAAAAACAATCGACGATTTCTCTTCTTTATAATCCTATCTTTTGAGATAAAATCCTTTACATATCTATAGAAATGAATAATCGTTTTAAACCTTATTCGATTGAATTTTTAAAAACCTAAATGAATACTTATCAAATTTGCATTGTGATTTATCCATGCATTGACACATTATAATTTCTAATGCATTGTTTTTGAAGAAAAAGAAAGAAAAAGAGAATCTTCTTTTCTTTTCTATTTCTCGTTCGGAATCTCATGTCATATTTTGGTTATCGTCGAAACGATGATTGTCATCCTAACTAAGCTCAATCTCGGGCGGCAAGTTTGCATAAAAATATTCGCATATTTTCCTCACATTGTGCCTACAAGTAATTGTTAGAATAGAAATGTCGAAATAAATTGTGTTTTTGGTCTTATCTCATTTAACAATGTTCTTATAAGAAATATGTAATCAAATAAATGAATATTCTCTCTACTGCACGAAGAAAACTCCCTTAGTTAAGCGAATGCAAACTTATTCTGATGGAAGAAGAAAAAGAAAAAAAATATAGATATGAAGAGAAAAAAAAATCGAGCGACAAAGAAAACGACATGATGCTCATTGTGGAAAGAGCAGCATCGAGATTAAGAGAACGAAGAGACGGGAACAAACATCACCCGTGGAATACAAAAACATACAAGAATATAAAACCGATTTGCCAGTGAGTTAATTGTGTATTGAAAAATAAGAGAGAGAGAGAGAGGGAGAAATGGTTTCTTTTATTAACACATAAAAATACGTCAATTCTACAATCTAAATTGATTGATAAGGAATTTTATATTTTGAACTAACACGTTTTCGATATTTAATAAATGGAAACAATAAATTTATACTTACTTATTAAAAAGAGAAAGATAAGATTAGTCTAAAAAGAGATTAAATCAATTGTAACTGGTACTAGAAGAAAAAAGAGTAACTTGTTTAAGATGTAATGTTTGTTTCCTTCTTTCTCATCAATAGAAAAAAAAAAAATCTTCTTTTTCTTCCAACTAGCTCATGAATGACATCATCTTTGCCTACTTCTTTCGAATTTGTCTTCTCTTCACCCCATCCGCTTATCGTTTTCTTCAATCAACTTCCTATTGCCAAAAAGAACTTCCGGTTAGATAGCAGTATTTATTCATCTATATAGAATGAAAGAAAAAAAACTCTTTTTAGAGAAGAAAAATGAGATGAAAAAAATTCCATTGTCAGTTTATTTAGACTATTTATAATAATATTTACCTCTATATCTTTATTATGAAAATAAAACGAACTTAGAAGCTTCTTTTTTTTTTCTTTTCAGGTTGAACAACATCATATAAAAATAACAATGGTTGTTCATATTGGTGGTCTTGTGGCCGTTGTGTGTTTTTATATTCTCATATTGATGGTTGGTATTTGGGCTGGACGAAAACAAAAATCATCTGAAAAATCTCCCGATACTGAAGAGATCATGTTAGCAGGAAGAAATATTGGTTTACTCGTGGGAATATTTACAATGACAGCAACATGGGTTGGTGGTGCATATATTAATGGAACAGCTGAACAAGTTTTTTCTACTGGTCTTGTTGCATGTCAAGCACCATTAGGTTATGCTATTAGTTTAGTTGTTGGTGGTTTATTATTTGCACGACCCATGCGTAATGCTGGATATGTTACAATGCTTGATCCATTTCAACGAAAATATGGACAAAGAATGGGTGGATTATTATTTATACCGGCACTCTTAGGAGAAGTATTTTGGTCAGCAGCTATTTTATCAGCATTAGGAGCAACGATTAGTGTTATTTTTACTGATGTTTCTATGACGGCATCGATTATTATTTCGGGTAAGAATTTATATTGATCTTTTCTATTTCTGTCAAAAAAAAAACAAAACGATTATTAGGTAATAATTTTGAAGAAACTATAAAATAATCTTGAATATTCTTATAGCATTAATTAAAAGAAAATCTTAACTATGTAATTAATAGTATTTATAAATAATGAATTCTTTTATTCTAGCGGCTGTTGTTATTGTTTATACTCTTTTTGGTGGCCTATATTCAGTTGCTTATACAGATGTTGTTCAACTTGGATTTATATTTATTGGTCTTTGGATTGCTGTTCCATTTGCAATACGACATGAAGGTGTTGGTAATATTATTTCAACATGGCCCGAATGGCGTGGTCATATGGATAAATCTCAAATTGTTGAATGGATGGATAGTATGCTCCTACTTATCTTTGGTGGAATTCCATGGCAGGTTAGTCTGTCATATTTATTACATGAAAAACAATTTTGTGAATACGTAAAAAAAATGTTTGATCATAAAATTTTGTTAGTCACTTAGATCGGTAAAAAAATTAAATTAATATGACTAGACATGAATGAATAAAATCGCATGAATGATTTTGTTTTTAAAGTGTCACATTTTAATGAAAGAAAGATATTTTGTTTTTAATCAAAAGCAGAAAATTATCATGGAATAGATTTTTTATTTAATTAAAGGCGTCAGTCCGTAAAAAATTAGTTGCAGAAACAGGAGAAATAGGAAAAGTTGATTAGAACTATAATGATGTTTTACTTTAAATGATAATATAAAATAATTTTTCTTTTATAGGTCTACTTTCAACGTGTTCTCTCAGCTAAATCAGCAAAGAAGGCTATGTATCTCTCGTTTTGTGCTGCTGTTGGTTGCATTCTGTTGGCTATGCCACCTGTACTTATTGGAGCTATTGCTAAGTCAACTAGTTTGTATCGAATTGATATCAATATAATATCTATTTTGATGTATTTTAATTAATTTAGATTGGAGTATGACAGATTATGATATAAAAAAGGATATCACATCACCTGAAGCAACAAAATTAATTTTACCCTTAGTTCTTCTACATTTATGTCCAAAATTTATTGCATTTATGGGATTAGGTGCCGTTTCTGCTGCTGTCATGTCTAGTGCCGATTCAAGTGTTCTTAGTGCAAGTTCAATGTTTGCTCGTAATGTCTGGAAACTTGTTTTTCGTAATCAAGTAAGTCATAATTGATGCTACTCATTATTTAGATTTTTGTTTTTGTAATCAAGAATACACGTTTTCTGTGATCTTTTTGAACTTCAAAATATTGATTTCTTTAATTTCATTGATTACTAGAAATCATTTTCTCAAAAGAGTAACAAATTGATATTTATTTATAAATAATTTTAATCTAGACATAAACAAACTGAGAATTCAATCAAAACTAAAACAAAAAACCTATTGATCGAAGCCGAAATTAAAACAAATGATCTTGTTCATGTTTCACTGGCTAATTAACAACGAAGATATCCGCAACTAGATGAGTAGCAGTAGTGGGATAAAATATTTCAAAGTTATAGATAGTAGTAGAGAATAATTTTAAACTCTATTTTTGACAAAACTTTTGCTAATTCTGACATTGGAACTGAATCGTTTTTTGACTATGATCAAAACAAGCGACTTTCATTTCCATCATCGTTAAGATTAATCATCTCCATTTTCTTGCAATGACAAGCGAATATAGAATACATGAGATTTCTCTATTTCTTTCGTTTCATTAACTATAGGATATGTCGATATATATATATATATGAGGAATGAATTTGAAATAATTATGAAAAGAAAACCATTTGATCTCTAGTAGAGTAATGTTCAATCATTTAAAAGAAGCAACTTTCAGCATATATTATGATAATATTTTCATGTAAATAGGCATCCGAACGTGAAGTTCTATTAGTAATGCGTTTGGGAATATTTCTTGTTGGAGCTTGCGCTGCTGGTATTGGTATTCTTGTCTCTTCGATTTATGTTCTTTGGTATTTATGTTCGGATCTTGTTTATGTCATACTTTTTCCACAATTACTTTGTGTTGTTTATGTTCCGCATACAAATACATATGGTTCATTGTCTGCCTATATTATTGGTTTTGTCTTTCGTATACTTATTGGTGAACCATCATTAAGTATTCCAACATTGATTCATTTCGGTCCATATGTTCCGGCAAAAACTTTATGTATGCTTATTAGTTTAACTACAACATTAATTGTTTCACTAATAACAAAAATTTTATTTGAAAATCGTATCATATCACCACAATTGGATATTCTTCATTGTCTTGTTAATATACCAAATGAAATTTTACCATTAAAAGAAAGTACAACAATTGATGAATTACAACAACCATATCGTATTACTAAACCAACATCAACAACAATAGGACAACAATATCTTAGTGAACCAATAATGATGATCAATAATTCATATTCACAAAGTCAAGATACATTAAATACTTATACAAATTCATGAATATATCAAAATAAATAAATACATGTATGTATTAATATAGTGTAAACCCTTCCGGTGAATGTTGTTCTTTTTATTTTTCCTTGCATAATCTATACGTATCATTGATTTGTTCATATTTTATTTGAATTATTTGTCAAGGTAAACGAGAAACAAAAATGTTGTGGAGGTGCTTTATATTTTTATGTTGTTTTCTTTTTTTTTCTTCTTCGTCAGTAGTCAGATTAGTCAAAATGAAGAACATACATATCATTCAATAATCAATTTTTTTTTATCGATCTACCTATCGCCTTGTGATAAAAAAAAACTAAGAGAAAACATATCAATTTGCCTTCCACATAAGAATAACTTATAATCAGTAGAATATCAAATACATATCATATATTAATCATTATTATTGTTGTTGCTATTGTTTGATGTTGTATATGTTTTAGTCTCATCAAAATAAAAATATTTCGTTGTCCCTCACCTTACAATCAAATCTATTTACTGATCACATTTTCATATATTACAAAAATAGATCATTTTTTTCATCAGTTTAATTTCAACAATATACATATATATATATATATATATATATATATTGTTTTGATGTTTAAACATCTAGACCAAGTGTTGTCGTTGAATCAATATTAGGCATTGGACCATCATGATGATTTACCATCCAATCAAAGATTTTATATGATATACGTAAACCATCTTTTGAACCTTGCCGATCGAGTAGAGTTTTAAGTAATGATTGTTTTGGTTCATCAATATATTTTGCTATCCATCTACAAGAAAAAACAAATATATATATATATATATATAAGATAGAATATACAAATTTGATACAAAAGAAAGACTATTGACCTTAATACTTCTGTTTCAGATCGACCAAAATCATTTTTATACCAAAGAAATAATTTTGATAAGCGAACTTCAGCATTTTCAAGTATAATATCAACTGCAGCATTACAAAAAGATGTTGTTGCCATATTTAAAGCTTTTTCAAGATTTGTTGATGAATATATTGCAATTTGTGGACATGAACGTGCACCACAATTAAGTGCAAAATGAATACGTGGATCACAACGACGCATTGAATACCGTACACGAGGATCATTAAATGTGAAATGTCGTTGAGTGCAATTCGAGTGAGGTTTATTACCTGAGAGAAATAATAAATTCACAGGGAACAAAAAAGGACAACTCAATCAAACCTCGTAAAATGCCATGTTCTATATCATCTAATGAATAACAGTATGGTCCAACTTTATATGATGTTGTTTTCCAAAATTGATTTAAATCGAGAACAGATTTTGGTAAATCATTAACTGATGCTATTCCATGAATTGTTAATATATTGTAAAGATCTTAAATGAAAAAATTTTATTATTATTTTTAAGTATAAATATTGTTGATAAATATTACTAATGAAAAATGTTTTACGTTCATTTTCTGTGACATTTTCAAGGCTAATTGTTGTCAACCGATTGCCCATTTCACATAAATCATTATAGACATTACTTGCACGTAAACGACGATAGTTAACTAAACGACCGGATGGATCGATAAAGGTGGCTTTTAAACTAACATTACAAAAAGGAAAATAATAAATGTGCAAAAAGAAAAAAAAAATTTTTTTTTTTTTTTTGATGTTTTTACTTTAACATTTTCTTTTGTAATTCAATTGAAATTTGTACTGCATTATAACCATTTTTAGATTTTGGTTCATTTCCATCATTAACTGGTACTGTTGATGTTGATGTTTTATCTGTCACTAAATTTTCTAATGGTGACCAATTAAGTATATTGAATAAACGAGAATTTTCGATTTCATCACTTTCATTAATATTCTTATTATTATTGTTGTTTTCGGATGTTAATGAAGGTTGTATTCCATTAATTACTTTGACTCGATCTATGATGAAGTGCAAGAAAACAGAGATGACATTAACAAAAAAAAAATAAATTTATCGTATTTTTTTTATTCCCAAAGTGTATATTTCTGTTTGTTGTTTTCATATGTCGATGTCCATCTGGTAAAATTTGCATTGGCATAATATGATATGATAGAAACGTTTTAATCATCAATGTGGTTCTTTTTTTGACAAGGTTAGAGAATTGCTACTATTACCCTTGGCACTGATCGAATAAACATGAAATAATTATCGTAATAGAATGTGAAAAAGAAAATAGGATCAAAAATACATCTTTGTACCCAATGTTGTCTTTTTTTTTTAGTTGATCTGCATTCGAACAATAAATAAAAACACCTTCTTGATTAATTTCCGTTATATATGCGTGTTTGTTCTAATATGGCAACGACAGATGTGTCGCACTGATAATACAATATGTGGAGATGCATGATATGAATAATTATGTTTCTCAGAGTTCTTCCTTTTTTTTTTCTCTCTTTTCCTTTCATAGTGCGTGTATTTTACATTAACAAAACAAAATTCCTTTCATCTAATTATTCAACACGGTGATGTATCACAAGGTGGTGGTGGTAAGTACTCAAGAAGAAATGAATGATGATGATGATGATGACGTTTGCATTTGTAAGCTTGAATCGACATTCATATGACAAAGATCTCTATTGTTTCAGTTATATAATAACAAAGGAAAAGGTAAAAAGAAAAAAACCTTTTGTGAATGTTTCACAATGAATAATAAACGAACCTTTACATATATATATAGATATATATGTATTGATTCATTAGTATGTTATATTCTTATTATCGATTTTTTTCTATTGATGTCGGAACCTATATTAAATAATGGAGACTGATTGCTCAACAAACGATCTTTTCTATAGAATGTCACACGCGAACAAAACAATGGAAAATTCATATATATATATATTTATATATATAGAAAAATTCTATTTTGAAATAAATCAAAAAGAAGAAAAAAATTGCAACCCTGCATTTGACAAATTGTTCATTCTCCAATACGATGTGTGTGACTGAATTTTCGAAAGACAAATGCATGTTTATATAAATATATATATATGCAAGTATTCATAGAGGAAGTCATTATTTTACTGTACACGTTTACAATAAAGCCGGAACTATTATTGTTTCCTGACAGGCATATAGACAATATAAAGACAAGAGAAGCAATATCAATATGTCGTATATGAAGACGCATCGATTCTTTATATAACATCAATGTAGAAAAGCAATAAAATGTTAGTTGTAACATTAATCTAAGATGATAATCGGGTGGATATAACCCATTTGACTTATTATGTTAGATGAAATGAAGCAAAACAAATAAGACAAGAGAAATAATCTTTCATACAATTTTCTGCTAACAATCATATTTAATACTTGTGTACAGGATTTATTATAAACAGCGATTATATACTTAAAATAACAAGAAAAATAATAAGAATAATCGATTAATCGAGTTGACATAGATCATGTTTCGCTATTCATATTATAACTTGTCATGATAAATTTTTCTCATCGATTCTTTTAGATCAATAAAAATGTACTTACAAAAAGGTCTTGAACTGTTCGATCGACTATACCGAGACATGACTTGAAATAATTTGTTTCTATATTGATTCAATCTTTACAGTGTTATTGTTGTTAGTATTATCAATAGGTGAGCATCAATATGTTGTATGGAAACGTCAATTGATCTGAGTGTGCTCGACTCACTCAAAATCGTTTAAACGGTACCCGAACATTGCCTAGAAGAAGAGAAAGAGAGAAAGAACTTCTTTCTTGCTTTCTTTCTTCTGGAGAGAAATTCCAATGATAGTATTTCTTCTTATTTTTTTTTTTCGCTATGTCTCTCTCTCTCTCTCTTATGCTTTATGACGCTGATCATCATCACCTTTTCTCTTTTGCCTTTCGCTTCACTATTCTTGACTGCGACTAATAATGTCTTTCGGAGTATGTCGATAAGATTATAGACAGACAGAAAAATGAGTACACTACACAATCGTATAAATTCTAAGATGGAAATGTATAGAAATATGGAAAGGAAGGAGCAACACATCACTTAGAAATCTGATGTAAAAGAAAAAAGAAGAGCCGAAATGAATGTCAATCAAATCAATTTCATTCCTATATTGTTTATTGTCTCAACTCATCATCAGTAGCATTACCAATGTATGTATGTATGTATGTATTATTATTATAACAAATAAATTTACATGTAAATAAGAATAATAAATTAGAGACAAGATGATAAAATTTATTTTAAAAGTTTTATATAAATTCACCGGTGAACACATGTCAAAGTCATATAATATTAATGTTACACAGGTAATGGAGTTTGTCTTTCAGGAAAATCAATTACAATATCCATATCAGGTGTACAACTAAAATTTAAAAATGAAAAAGATAAGAGAAAAATTTTTTTTGTTTTAAATGAACAAATAATATTTAAAAATAATTAATATGATTATCGTCGATATTAGTAAGAGAAATAGATATCTTATGTATAGCTATTTAATTTAGTTAGTTTTGTAATAATAAACTTCTCCTTGAAAGATTATCAGAGGAATAGAATCTTAATTTTTCTTCAAATAATTAATAATTAAAATATCTTAGTTTAAAAGAAACAAAAACCTTTCATGTCAGAAGAATAATTTCTCGGTTTGTTTAATAAAACTCTAGATCGAGACGTTCTATTCTGTTCATAAGAATAATACTCTATTACAAGACGAGAAAAGACTAGTTTTCATTGATCTGAGAAAACTGACGTAATCTAAGAATATAAAACATACATTGGCATTGAATCTTGTCGAAAAACATGTGGAAATAAAGTACGAGAATCGAATGCTTGTCTTTTTTCATGTTTTAATTTTGCATTTAATTTTTGCATGTGTTCACATTCAATTTCTAATAAACGAAGTTTTTCTTCTTGAATAGCAATTTCCTAAAATAAATCTATAAATAATAATTTAAACAGAAAAAATAACTTAAATTTTTACTTCTTTCATTCGATCATTATCGAGTGCAACAAGTAAATAAGACATATGCATATTAGAAAAAGCTGCCTAAATAAATAAATAAAAAAAAAGACAAAAATCGAATTTATATTATTTTCTAATTTAAAAAACCGTCGCTTGTTCTTCTTTTAATTGTGCTACAGTTAGACGAAGATTTTCTAAATGTTGTTCTTGTTGTTTTTCAAGAATACGATTTAATTCATCAACTTCTTCCTATTATAAAAAAACAAAATTGTTTTTTTTTTTTTTTTCGTGTTTTTGTTTTATGAAAATAAAATCTTCACATACTGAACTAAAAAGTTTTGTTTCATCGATTTCTTGAAGTAATTTTTGAAGCGTTTGTTCTTTTTCAGGATATTCACTATCCTACAAAAAAAACATATGAACAAAGAACAAATTAATTTATTCGTTTAATTTTTTTCTACTTTATATGTTTTTAATTGTTTAAGAAATTGTTGACAATCACCTAATTGATTTTCAAGAGATGAAATTTGATTTTCATACACTAATAATAGAAAAGAAAAAATAAAAGAAAAAATATATTTTTTATGAAATAAATTTCTTTACTTTCAACTTCATTAGCTAATGTTTGTCGTTCTTGATCAATAGTATCAAGTAATTCTTGTTTTTCTTCATCTTGTTTTGTTTCAACAAGTGAAATTGTTTTCTATAAAGAAAAAAAAAACATATTTTGATTTCTTTGTTGACAATAGAAAACACTTTTTTTTATTTCTAATACTTTATATTGATCAAAACGACGTAAATTAACTGCAACTGTATCATGAGCCGAATGTTCTACATTAGAAATAGTTTTACGTAATCTAGCATTATTCGTTTTTAAATCATTTTCACGTTGAAGAAATGATTGTATACGTGTACGATACACTAGAAATATAAATAAATTTTTTAATGATTTTTTTTTTCTCTTCCCATATATATATTTACTTTGCAATTGTAATGTTAACCATTGAATTTTGGCTGGATTTTCTGATGCAAAACGTAAAGGTGAAGGATCTTTTCGTAAATGTCTACAAAGACCTGAGCATTTTCTTTCATTACGTAAAGCTAAATATAACAAATATTCTTTATTTGTTTTTATTTCGAAAATTGAAGTAAAAACTTACGAGGAGGACCTACAATAGCAGCAATAGTTGTTGTTGTTGTTCCAGCTGATTTAGGTTGTCGTCGTTGTTGTTGTCTCGTCCATGGTGAATAATCAATAACTGTATTTGACATGTGACTATGTAATGAATGTAAAGCTGAACCACCAGATGGTTGCCTACTTAACGAATTTGAATACATCTGAAAACACAAAAAAAGTTCACATTTATTTATGTAATTCGTATCAGACATTAAAATAAATTAAGAAAACATTTAAATAAAGGCACCCAACAATATTCATTTTATAAAATAATCACATTTAAGTATTGGACAATCACCACGTATATCCATGGGTGAATAATCATAGTACAATGTATAGGATGGAAATGATTGTTTATGTGTACCATCTACATAGGCACCTATCAAACGATATTCTTCAAGTGAACGCATTGGATCAAGAAGACCATGACGTGAACGAACTTTTTCACGAAATATACTAATTGATCGTGTCGCAAGATCTGTTTCATCAATCACCATTTTTGATAGAGCATAAACACTCATATGATCAGGTACAGTAAGACGAATATGACCCGGATAAGCATTATATGAATCAAATGTGATAAGACGAAGATGAAGTGTAACATATCTATATATGAATAAGAAAGAAATTTAACTAGCTAATTAAATACCAATTAGATTACTTGGGATAAGTCAATTGTAAAGGTTCATAAAATGGTCGTTTCAATTCTTTTGGTAATTTCTTTTCAAGGATAATCTCTTTTGATGGTGGAACAGTCAATTGTACGATATATCGTAAAATACCATTACCAAGTTGTTGATCTAACATAGATCGATAATCAATGAAACCTTCATTTTCAAATAATTTCATTAAAATAAACAAGTCTTCACGTGATATTATAGGTAAACGATCTTTGATAACTATGATAATAAATAAAATAAAATAAATAAATTTGATTAGAATATTGATTTAATTTTTAGTTTCTTTTTTTTTACCAAGTCGAAATTGTTCATATGACAAACGACCTGAACCAACTTTGTCTAACATTTGACAAACATCGAGTAAAAGTTTTTTGTGATCTTTTAATAATGAATTGATACGTTCACAAGCAGTATTCAATTTTTCGGGCGAAGAAAAGATATTTTTAGTTGCTTTTGTCAAACGTTCCTATTCAAACAATGTCAAATGATACAATTTTTAATCAGACAAAAATTAATATTTACAAGTTCTTTGTCACGACCAGCTTTGCCTTTCTTTTTTTTCTTTTTTTTCTTGTCTACTATTTCATCAGCTTGTTCCTGTAAAAGAGATTGAACCAATGATGTTGTTGCTGGTTGTTCAATTTTTGTTGCTTCATCAGTTGATACTGGAAGAGGTGCTGCAGAAATAGATTCATTAATTTCAGTTTGCTGTTGTTCTTCAGCAATGTCTTCCATTTTACAATGAAGACAAAAAAAAAAAAGAGAACAGAAAAAAATTTTATTGTCAACAGTTCCATTCACCGTCAGTTCACCATGGTATCGCACAACACTATTTGCATGCTGTATCGATTTTGATCGATGTAGAGCGCGCTGTTATTTAAGATTTTACGAAAAATTAAATTTGAATAGACTAGTGAGTAACAACAAAAAAAAATTAATAAAAAACACAAAATTTACTTATTAAAATTATTCATCCAGTTCTTAGTATGTGTCTATATTTATTAGAAAAATATCAACGAACGAGACAGAGAACGGCTCAACAAAAATAAATTGATTAGAGTTTTAACAGTATTAGTAATTTAATATTGATGATGATTAATTCCCTGTGGATCTTTATTTTTCTTTATCGCAATACAAAAATTTTGCACCCTTTACAATCCATTTATCCAGGTTAGAGAATAATTCTTTGAGATGATATCTTTTTTGCTTTTTCTGTAATAAAGCAAATCAGTATTTTGATTGAGACGATTAAAAAAAACAAGCATTTGTTTATGTGACATAAGTATCATTTAATATAAACACTAGTTTCCGATTGATATTGTATAGGTACAATATTTTTCTTTTGATGTAGTAATCATAGATTTCGTAATTTGAAATAAATAACCTCTATTTTTATCGCCATAGAATATTGCATCTCTTAACTTCTATTTAGAGATAAACTATTATTAGATTTTGTCCTTAATTGATTTTATCTTTTGGAACTATTGATGTGCGAAGTTTATTCTGTTTAAATATGGGTAAAGCATACTTCCTTCCTCTTCTTGAGTATTAAAGTAATATTAATTGTCCATACTCATTGAAGAAAGAAATGAATTAGCAAATAATACCTAGTGATGATTTGATTGTCATTTGGCCTCTTAACTCAGAAGATTGAGAGATAGTAGTGTATGAAGAAAGCTTCAAAACTGTCATCGTTAATGTTCATATCTTGAGGGAATCAATCAAGTTTCTCTTATGTATCTCTACACTATCGACCTATTAACTATTTGTCATACTGAAACGAGCACGATCATCGATTGTATACAAATTATATGACTTCGACTAGTTCGTTTGTATCATTGTACAAGCTTCAAAAGATGAACATAAAGATGAAAATGCTAATATAGGAAACTGAATTTGAGAAGACAATCTTCATACGTCCGAATGTTTTTTTT